GAAATGTAGGTTCAAATTCCCAGCAGGGCCCCAGACAATTACCAACAAGCACCGTGACACACATCTACTGCTAACGAGGAAGAGGAGGGGAGCACGTGGCGCAGAGGTCCAGGTGGGCAGCAGCGGGGGTTAAAGGGCATCACCATGGTGGTGGGAAAGTTTCCAGGGGCAAAACTTTGGTTTTTTTCAGGCTGATTCATCCCCCTGGGGTGCACCTGGAGTGGAGGCTGGACCGCTGGAGGGGCTGGAGCTGGGCAGGGTGGCAGCACATCCCCCTGCGCAAACCTCCTCGCAGCTGGCAGGGTTTTTTTTGAAGGATGCTCAATGCCTGGCAGCATGGGCTGCTGCTTTCTCTGGGGTGCTGCTCTGTGGCAAGAATGAACCACTTTTATTTTAATGCCATTAATGAAAGGCAGTGCAGGGGTGAGGATGGGGCAGGACGGGGGGAGTGGGTTTGTCCTGGCACTGAGGAACGCGTGCACACAGGCATACAAATGCTTGGAGACAAAGACTGTGATTAAGGGCCAGTGCTCCGACTCCCTGCTTATTACAGGAAAGGATTTATCTGATGGCCTACTTTCAGCTCCAATTTTCCACCTTTTAATCAGGTTCCCAAGTCTGCTTGTCTACTCCAACAGGGAAGGAAGGGGATGTCTCAAGGGTGATGGGACAGGAATAATGCTACAGCACTGCCTCTAGGATCATGCGTGGGGCAAAGGGTTTCGCTGCCCCAGAGCTTTCCCAGGAGGCAGATCCCAGGGCAGGCAAAAGGGTTATGTCCAGCCATGCAGCATTATTTTCTGGCATGGCAAGGGTGCATCCGTGCTTTCCAGCCTGACCAAGGCAGGGTGTGTGGAACAAACGTGCTGGAAATAAAAACCTCCTGCAAAATGGAAAATGTACAGAGGAGTAGCTATTTTTAAAAGGGACGGCACCTACTGCTGCTATGAAGTCAGCCACATAATCAGCCAGCGAGGGACTTCTGTAGGCTGACAGCTGACAGCCAGGAGAAACAGCTCCAACAGACTGACAAGAAGAAAATTGGAGCTTTTGGGTACCAAGAGGTGCATGTTTTCAAATAAAGAGAAGAAGGTTGTCCTGTGCTGCCCTGGGCACAAGGCGGATGGGAGGAAGCGACCCTCAATGTCTTCCCCAACATGCTGGGAAGTGGGGTGAGATGCTGATAACACTCCAGGAGACAAGAGTGCTGCAAGCAAATGCCAGCTTAGCCATTTCTTCCCCTTCCCTAACCCAGCCTATCCTTATTGCCCAGCCACCGCTGAGGTTTTCCTGCTTCTAAAAATATTCAGCCTCTAATTAAAACGCCTGTCTTGCTTGCCAGGGCAAATGTATCCAGCCACAGAGCTGAGCTGGTCCTGGAGACAGCCAGAACTTGCAGCTAACCTGCCTGGTTGGCTTTCCTGGCATGGGTGGCTGGGGAGATGTCTGACACCAGAGTTTAGTCCATCACGCCGTGTTATCAAGCTGACAGCAGCTTCAGGAAGCTGGCATGAGGGCTTCGTCAACTTTTCCAAGCCTGAAGGCACCATGTGCCTTTTCCTCCTCCGCGGGGATGTTAGTGCTGTGTTTCAGGTGTCCACGTCCCGTGATGGAGAGGGACACCATGCATGGGCAATGTGGGGGTTCATGCTGCTGACAGAGGCTTACATGCTTCTTCCCATCCAGACAGCTTCGGAAAGGCTATTTAAATAATAAAAATCGCTAGCAAAATAAGATGCTAAGGCAAGGGGCAAAGGAGTACTGGGAGGGACAAGGTCAAGCACAGCACTGGAGCATCATATAAGTGGGGCATTCACAAGGAAGTGGGAGAATCCAGATTAAGACTCATCGCTCCCAGGACAGTGTCCTTCCCCAGGACAGCAGGACACTCTCCACTGCTCCGGCTGAGCCCGCATCCCAGGGCAGGAGGGGTCCCATCCAGAAGGAGTGTGGTGGTGTAGCCTCATGGTCACAGCCTAATGGTGGACACCAGCGGAGCGGTCATCTCTAAGGGTTGGTGATGGCTTTTCCCCACAGTCCGAAATAGTGCTAGGAGCAAGATCTGGCTTCTCCTGGAGATGTCAACCCCCAGGTTATAGTCTGACGGTACCTTGCACGCCATCCAGGACTACAGGGCAGTTTTGGGAGGCAGACAGAGAACCGACACATTGCCTCTTCCAAGCAGCCTGCAGCTCTGCCTGCCTGGATGCAAGATGCAGTTGTTCCTTCAGGCTTGGGAGGATGGGGGACACTGCAGCTTCCCAGAGGTGGTTTCCTCACCGGGGCCTCTGCTTGCCCAGCTTTTATACACAGCACCAAGAAGTGCTTAAAATTAACTTTGCTATTTAAGAGCAGGCAAAGCCCTCCTGAGCGGTCTGTATTTATTCTTTAGTTGCAACAGCTCTGCATGCTCTGAGCCCTCCGTGCAGCAGCCCCTGCTCCTCGGAGAGCGGTGCCGAGACTGAACCACGTGTATCTCGCCGCCGAAAGCTCTGCCGTCTGGCAGCATGCAGCTTTCCGTGTCGTGGCATCGCTTCTGCACCCGTTTGCTTCCTCCCATCCCCATGGTGTTGTGAAACAGCTCCTGGGCTCTCCCCACATCACTCGCTCTGCAAATCCAGCCCTTCAACCCTAGCAGACCATGTCACGGGTTGGCCAAATCCATGAAGAGATCCCCACCATCTCTGACAAGCTTTGGAGCAGATCCTGGAGCAGGAAATTTGCTCCAGATGCTCTTGTGCTGCTTCGCTGCCACGTGTCCGTAATTTCCTTCGAGTCAGCCAGTGAAGCTCTCGAGCCTTTCTGCCAGTGAGGAGCCCAGTGAGCCGAACACAGCGGGACAAATCCTGCCCCCAGTTTGGAGATGCAACACTCGTGAGGGTGGTGGGGCTGGACAGAGCAAGGAGAGAAGCCGTGATGCACTTCGGACCCAGCGACAGCTGCCGCCCTCCCAGCACTAAGGCAATAAATCCGGAGGATCTGGGTTTATTCTCCTCCAAATCACTTTATTATATTGTGAGTAATCACAAAGCCTTACAATGCTGCAGAGGTTCTTTAAAAAAAACCACACAAACATAGCGACGGTATTTGCCAGCTTTTGCTAAGACTTGTTGAGCTAGCAGCTACCATGAGATTACACAAGGAACTCTTGCAGTCTTCAATTGGATTGTCGCATTGGGCTTTAAATTTACCACAGTGGTGCAAAGACACTAATTTGACAGTTTGTGATCCCTGTAACGTTTCACCTACTTACAGACTTATAAAATTAAACAACTTCTTTTTCTTTTTTAAAAAAAATTCATTTTCTGCCAGCAGAAAAGAATTCTCTTAAAAAGGCAAGATCCACTAAAAAACACCCCCTTCCTCCCAAACCTCCCCCATCTTGCACTGCAGTCGGTTGCTGTCCTGCTCCAGATCCCTGCCTGCAGGCAGTCCCATTGCCTTTTGAAGAAAATCAACATGTTTCTTGTGACTGTGAAAGCTGGTCGAGCATTGCAAAGACTCAGTAGAGGGGCAAGAGCCCCAGCACTGAAAGAAAGGGTTAAAATCCCACCCTAAGGTACCCAAACAAATCATTGAAAAGGAGATGGATGAAAATGTGGGAGAGGGATCTCAGTAACCAAAAACCGAGGTGTTGACTCTGGCTTTTATGGGCTCAGAAGGTTTCAACCATCCCTGGAGACAGCTGCTTTGGGCAATAGGGTTTCCATTTGCAAAGTCCTTGGTGGGTGTGAGGACGAAGCCTGAGCTCCTCCCAACACTCCCAAGGAGGGCGGTAGGATGGGTTTATATCTGCATCACCTTTGCATGGACCTCCCTAAATCAGTTTCAAACATTGAAGGTTGCCCTGGTGCAAGGCTGGGTTTAGAGACCAAGTTGCAGATCAGCCCAAGTAGGACCCCTATCCACAACATCCCTTCCTGCCCCCAGGACACAACGTGCCAGATGTGGACCAGACATCTCCATTGAGGACACAATGTGCCAGATGTGGACCAGACATCTCCACTGCAGGAGCTCCTATAAGCAAGTTGAAGGCTTCACACACGGCACTGAGTCACGCTGTGTTGCCTTCCCCCAATTCCTCCTAACCTGGAAGAAGAGGGACAAGAGTGGCTCCCCTTTGCTTTGCCAGCATTTCAGCAATGGAGATAAAAATGAGTAAATCTGTGAGGACCAGGGTTTTTATCAGACTTCGGTTGGCAACCAAGGAGCTGTGTGAGAGAAAGAAAAGCCACAATCTGGGAAAAAAAAAACCAAACCAAGATCTTTCCCCTGATAGGCAAAGCGCTCCAGAGTTGCAGGCGTCGGTGTTAATTCTTCCCCCAGGATGTTCTGGAGAGTTTTGGCACCGGGAAGTGCCTCACATTGGCCCAGCTGAGTCACAAATGCTGGAAAAAGCATGGAAACAGCTTACTCTCACATCCTCTGGGTCTGCCTCTTGGTTTGATAAGACCATCAAGATGCGAATCCCTGTCAAAGTTTTCTTCTGAGCTTCCCCAGAAAGGGAGGAGGGATTTTCTTTTTTAAATTTTTTTAAGCTAGGCCATGTGATCTTTTCACTTCACAACTCATTTAATTTGCTTCATGGGAGGCTGGTTCCTGGGTGAGATGTGGCTGTTGGCAGACCCCTCTGCTTCCCTTGCTTGGCTGCCCATCACCTCTGAGGAATGGCTTGCTAAGGTTAGAAAGACAGGAGGTTGCCAAGGTTCGACCTAAAGTAATTAGACATGAAAAGGATCGAGACGGAAAACCAGGGAGAAAATTGTGGGAAAAGTTCTCGACTTACTCAATGTTCATTGCACACCTATGCAAATAACATGTAAAAAGCAGCACATTAGGAGCACCCTATATTCAGGTTTGTCTGGAAATGTTTCTTCAAGACTGAAAGTGCATGATAGGGAACAGAGTGCTGCTAACGAAGGCAACATCCAGAAGGCACTTCTTGGGGAGTAATAATTAAAAAAAGCATGATGCATGCGTTTGTAAGCAAGCAGCTACGGAGCCAGTACGTTTTGGTGTGTGCTCTGGAGAGACGTAGCTTTGCTACTACAAATGTTTCTGGGGGATGAAGGTTTGCTCCAGACTGACTGTTCTGCCCTGGGACCTGCAGAGCAGCTTGGTCCCCCTTGTCCAGCATCGCTGCTCTGGAGCTAACGGGCTGCGTGCGGGACCTCAACGCACCGGGTAAAATCTGGAGCCTGCAGATGAGGTGGGCCAGGCTTTGAGAGTTTATAAAATTCACAAACAATCAAGGATTGGCATATACAAATATATAAATTATTGACATTTTTACAAAAGGCACACTGCAAGCCATCTCAGTCCGACACCTGTACAAATCCCATGCCCCCCCCTCCCCGTCCCTCCCTTCCTCACCCCTTCTACCCAGCTTTCATCACGAAACGTAAGGTGCTGCTGCTACGGAGCCGTGGCTGTCGTGGCAACTGAGGACCTCTTTTTTGGTCAGCCCAATTTGTCGGTGGTACTGTCCTTCTTTGATGGTCTTAAGACACTGTATGTTCTTCCCCAAGGTGATGCTTTTGATGGAAGGCAAGCATTTCAACACCGTCTTTGGCAAGGATGAGATGCCTGTCCCAGAGAGGTTGAGCTCTTGTAGGGAGTTCAGACCAAAGATAACTTCAGCAGTCAGTGACTTCAAGCTGGGATTACTGGATAAATCCAGAACTTGGAGGGCTGGTAGTTCCTTGAAGCTATAAGGAGATAATTCTACAAAGCCACGCAGGCCAATGAGGGATAAATGAATCAAATCTTTCAGCCCCGTGAAGTCTCCTTTCTCAATCTTGACTAGAGGGTTCCCATCAAGATTTAAGTATCGGAGAGGAATGCCTTGAAGGTTTGGCACAGACGTTAGCCTGTTTCCAGAAAGATTTAAGTTCTGGATGTTGGGGATGCTCTTTTCACGGTGCCTCGTAATTGTGCTGAGCATATTATTGGATAGATCCACATTCAGGCGTTTTCCTTGGCCTTTTGAAGCAAAAATGTCCATAGCTATATCCAAAAGCTTGTTATTGCTCAAATCTATGTCTCCCAGAGGAGAACTGGAGAAACAGTCCTCTGGAAGGACTTCCAGGGAGTTATGACTCAGATCCAAGGACTCCAGGTACCGAAGCCTGGAGAAGGTTGTGGAGGAAATTTTGGCAATTTTATTGTAGCTCAGGTCGAGGCTCACCAAGGTGGTGTAGCCAGGGCCAGTCAGCATTGATTCATTGATTGTTTCCAGTTTGTTTGATGATAGATCCAAGTAGGAGGTATCCAGAGGGATTGGGACAGGGACAATGTGTGAGCCTATTCCACTGCAGTCCACCTTGGTCAAGCTAAAGCTGTCAAAGAGACCAAAGCTTTCCACTTCACAGTGGCAGCCGGGGAAGCAGGTTTTGGTAGTACTGAAACAAGGAAGGAGAAGCAGCAAATTGAACCAGGCTAGGAACTGCATTGTTGACCTGGAAAACAAGACAATAGGAAAACAGATTTATTTGCCATAGAAATTACTTTACTGAAGATGTGTAACAGTTTGAGTCGTGCAGTCTTCTCCTCTGTCTTTCCAAAGGAATAGATTAAGTATACCCTTAAATAGCACGGATGTCTCAAACACTTTGTCTTTCACTTTGTGAACCCCACTGGGAAATTAATGGTGGAAAAAAGATTGGGTTAACAGTATTTGCAGATATAACCAAGTTAAGACACAACTAGAAAGTAGCTGTAAGAACAGTAGGCTGCCTTCAAGCAAGATCTATGCAACGTACACCCTTTCGACTGGATCTTGCATGAGGTTAAATGACAGCTCAAACACTGAGTCATTTTACAGCCTGGCAAACTGCAGCACACAGAGGTCTTCATGTCAGGGCATCCATGTGAGATTTGGGAGCGCCGGGTTCAAGACCCTGCATTGACAGATTGGAGAAATCATTTAGGCTGTGAGGTCAGTGGGAGCCTTAACTGTCCAAAACCCTTATCAGGGAAGGAAAAACCAAAGCTTTGTTCGAATTTCCTATAGATGACAGAGATAATGGCATCATCAGAACATCCTTCAGGATGAACAGCTTGAAAGGCCAACTGCCAAGTGGACAGCATGTCTCCCTTGCTTAGACTTCAGATGCAAATTTAGAGGTGTTTCAGTAGGTAGGGTCATTGCTTTATAGCAAGTGGCTAAAACCAACCCTCCTTGGGGTGGTGGTAGGCAGGAGAGATAACGACCACTTGGCTCCTTGCCTGTTAGACGAGAGGAACCAAGGACTGCTCAGTCTAACCCAGACTGCTGTGGTGGGCCCAGTCTCCTGCACAGGCATCGAGTGGAGAGAGCCAATTTGTTTCATATAAAACCTCTGGAGAGTCTGTGCTAATTACATTAAGTATTCTCTCTGATTAACGATGCCAGCAATCAAGGAGCTGTCTCCACCCCTCTGGTTTTGACCCTCTGGCTGAGACATTTCTGTCCCTCCATCACTGCAGCCAAGGGAAGAAGAGAACTGATCTGCACCTCACCAGCTTTGATGGATCTCTTTAGATCGCATCCTAACAGCTCCTCCGCACAACTGTGGGCAACAGCAGCTGCATGATTTCAAGAGCCAGCCAAAAAAGCTTTAGATCTGCATCTCTGGAGAGGGTAAACTGGAGTGTGCCAGCATCCTGCAGGTCAGCAGAGACAGCAAGGGCTGTCCTTGTTGGTTCCCATTGCAGTCACGGGTGATGGCTCCTCATGCTTTACAAAGTCTCCAGGAGGCCAGCAACAAAAACTCCTGGCAAACCAGGCAAGCAGATCCATCAGCACCACTCTTTCGCTACGCTGCTGGCGATAAACAGAGGGTCACGTGCCAAGCACTCATTTAGCCAAAAAAAAAAACCCAACCAAACAATCCCCTTCAAATGTGTGTTCCCATCCCCACCTCAGCCCTCCTGGTCTCTATTCGCACCTTTCCCACTGCTGTTTAAAAGCACTTTATTGGCTTCCTTGCAGTATCATGTTTCCCACATACCCTTTGATCTGGCTGAGGCACCTTCCCCACAGCCCTTGCACCTTCCCAGGACCATTTCCTAGAAGTTCACGCTTCCTTTCATCTTCCCTCACCCACCCCTTGGCAGCAATTTCTCTCCCTTTCCATCATGGTCTTCCTGGCCCTGCTCTCTTTCCCAGGACAGCAATCAGGGACTACTTGCCAATGTGCAAAAAGAGCGCAAAAGGGAAAAAAGCGTTGCAAAAACACTGTCCTGATCATTGGTATGACTTGTCTGGCGGTAACTCCCAGATCGCCTGCAAATAGAGAGCAGAGATTGGGACTCTGGCCAAAGTGTCTGCAACCCAAGCATTGCTAAAGGCCAACACGCAATCCTCTGGGGTCCGTTATTCTATAGAAACAACAGAAAAGCAGTAAGACGAGCCCTAGTCCCAGTCCATCCCAACTGTTTCTTCAGAAAACACATATGTGTGCAGAGAGGACGCAGCGGGTCGAGCTCCTTTCTGCAGACACATTTCCAGACATCCCTTTCCTAATGACAGCAAGGCTGATCCCCTCTGGTTCTGTGCAGGCAGCTTGCTCCCTTCTGCAGTCCCTCCTAAACTAAATACTTTTTTTTTTTTTTTTTTTATGAAGCTGCATTTGGAATCCACTGAAATGTTTTATTACCAGGGGAAATTACAGCAGTGGGGAGCTCTTTGGAAACCAAAAAAGCAAAAACTCGAATGTCTCACATACAGGGAAGTACCTCCATTAGTGTCAGCTCAGTATCAGTACCAGATCCCACCCGGTGGCTATTCTCACTTGATGTCTCAACAGGGAAAGTGCCTCCTAACTTCTTTGAAAGCCCAGCTCAGTTCCTCATGGCATCCCCTTGGCTCTGGTGGGAGCTGGATCAGACCCCAGCAGGTCCAAAAACACATCAGTGTGAGACTTGGCTTTCTGAGCACTGCTAAGACCTTCATGGGCTCCTGCTGGGCCACCTGAAGAAAAGCAAGAGGGCAATCACCAAAGTCTTAGTTTAACTGGGAACAGACTTTTTAATAGGGCCTCTAGTGATAGGACAAGGGGTGATGGTTTTAAACTAAAAGAGGGTAGATTCAGACTAGATATAAGGAAGACATTTTTTGTGATGAAGATGGTGAAACACTGGCAGAGGTTGCCCAGAGAGGTGGTAGATGCCCCATCCCTGGAAGTGTTCAAGGTCAGGTTGGACGAGGCTCTGAGCAACGTGATCTGGTTGAAGATGTCCCTGCTCATGGCAGGGGGGTTGGACTGGATGGGCTTTAAAGGTCCTTCCAACCCAAACCATTCTATGATTGATTCTATGAACTGAGAGAAGAATCAAAGCCAGCGCTGGGCTTCAATATGCGGCTGCTCAAACCCCTTTTGACATGGGATTTCCCTTCCTGATCACCCTCAGAAACAATTGCCAGAAGTGAGCAGATGCAGTGACTCCCACTGCAACATCCACGGCTCCAGTCAGCAGCAAGGACCAAAACATTACACAGCTGAAATGCAGTACACAAATTATTTGCACAGTATCTATTGCCTCTTCCCTCCTCGCAGCACTGCCCCAAATTCTCCCTTACTGGCTCTTCAATTGCTTTGCAGATGAGATGCAACCCATTACCATGGAGTTAAAAACTCCCTTATGGAGCAGGATGAAGCATTCATAGGCTAACAAGCCACTTGGCCAATAACTCTGATAAAAGATAGGAGAAATAAAGGTACTGGCCATCTTCCAGTCCAAGAAGGAGACTCTTGCATTACCAGATAATCAACGAAGAGCTTAGTCAGGTACAGGCATGCTTCGTCATTGCACGGAGGAATCGATAGCGCTCTTTGAAACGGGGAAAGAAACGTGCTGCAGGCATTTACGGTTCGTCTGTGTACAGCATGCATTTGAAACCGCATCAAATTGCCTTTGGATTGCTGCCTACGAGCTGCTCTGTTGATAAAGGCAGGAAGCGACGGTATCCCCTCGCGAAAGGAGGATGAGTTACCCTCCTGCATCACTGGGGACATTCACCTGGAGGAAACACTATGGGCCAGAAACCACCAGCCCCATCACCTGGGATGACAAGGGGAAAGCCACCAGGAGAAAACAGTCCGCTTTCAGGCTGGTTCAGCCATGACCTCTGCATTGCTACAGCTGTTGTGGTGTGGAGAGATCTCTGGGATAAATTTTGGCCATCTAACAGCTCGGCAGGGCTTGTTATACCCACTGATTTCAACAGGAGTTGCTGGGGCTGCAGCATCGTCCTCCACATTTCAGGTGCCTGGAGTGGCTACAGGGCTCTGGTCTTTGTATCTTCCTCGTCCTTTCTGTACATCTATACAGCAAATATCCTGAGACAACCCCAAGGAGACTCCGTGGTGGGTAACAGAGCCAAGGCTGGACCAAGATCCCAGCAGGGTGCCAGCCTACTGTCCCAAATCCCACATCTCTCCCTGAGCCTGCAGATGCCCAGACCCCTCCACCCTGCTCTCTGCTCATCCTCAACACTATCATGAGGCAGGATCCAGGTGGAAACCTCACACTGAGATTTCTCTGCTAAAAAAAATGTTAAAATGATGATTTTAAAACCAGACTACAGAGGGAACCTAGGTCTCAGCTGATGGCTGGGGAGGTGGGAGAGAGGAAAGCCCTGTTATTGTATTGTCGCAAATTCACTCTTCTCATTGCACTTGATTTCCTCCCTCTCCACTTCCTTAAAGACTTTTCTCACTAGAGTTCCCCAATCCACAGCTGAGACTCTGCCACCTCGCTCGCACCCAAGGGAGGTGCACTAACATATCCTGCCGGGGATGGAAGCCCATTTCTCAGGGACTGGTACCGCCTTGGGAATGCAGAGATGAAGAGGGTGACTACCTAGGCTACCTCTGGTTGCCCTGGCAATCACCAAGCTGGAAATCCCTATAGCCAAAGATCAAGGACTAATTAAAAAATAATACAAGGGGAAGGTATTTGAAAGTTCGTTGCTCGATGGAGTCAGGAAACGGCTCCCCCATTCAAGTTGCACCCCTCAGCCTCACCGAACGCATCGTTTGGCAAAGTATCGGCTCAAATGCAGCTGGAGTCGGGGCTGAAGACCCAAAGTCAGCAATGAAGCTTAAGGTAAGTAAGTAAGAAGTGCAGAAACCCCAGGTTGTCTCTACAGTGGCGCAAAGAGAATTGCTTCATAAGGGGATGAAACCCACCTAAGACCAGACCCATTCTTGGAGATGCCCCATCTCTCCATGACCATGGTGGGGTGGGATGCCTGCTCTCCTTGGGCTGCTGCATCCTCCAAACCGGAGTCCCACCCAGCAACCAGGTGCACCCAGGATGAATCAGTTCAGCTCACTCATCCAACAAAAAAACCCCCTCATCTTCTCCCTTTTGTGGGTCAATTTTCCAGCAAATTGGGCTGCCCAGCTGCAGGGTTACTGGCTCTGACACAGGAATGGAGAAAACAGGACGTGTCTTATCAACAGCAACCCA